CCTCTGCCTCCCAAGTGCTGGGATTAAAGGTGTGAGCCACCACACCTGGTCTCACACTCAACTTTTTTAGTAGGAGAAAGGCAGATTTTTTTTTTTTTAGTAAAGAAGTAAAAGGGTACCAAGGTCTGAGCTATACTGTAGCCCAGATGGGTTACACTGTATTCTCTAGAGGTGAATCCTGGCAGACCACTGGATAATGACAATGCCGTTTGCTAAGACCTGTTAGGCATTTGTGTATTTAAGGCCTGGAAGGAACAGCCCAACAGGCCTTTCAATTTTCTACCCTAGGCTAAGATAGTAAAGTGATTTAATATTTCTAACAGCAGGACAGTGAGCCTGATTCCCAACGAAAGGCCAAGGCCCCTCCTTCTGTTACATACATCTTGTTGTGGATGTCAATGGCACACAGGCAGCGAATCACTGAGGAGAGCAGTGTCCATATCCCAAAGGTACGAGCTTGGAGACCATTCACTGTGTAATGGAAAAAGCAAGAGTGTTGAGAAGGGGAGGGTGAGGCGAACTTCCCCCAGAACTCTTCCTTCTTTCCAGGTGGTTCACAGCAGGTTGCTGAGTCTGACTCCCTGGCCCAGTGGCTAGGCAGCGTGGAAGCTCTGATGCTACCCCTGGAGAATGGGATGGAAGGAATTCTGAAAGCTCTGTGGATCCTCTTCAGATGCCTACAGTTGGGAACTGAACCCAGGTCCTCTGCAAAGGCAGCCAGTGTTTTGAACTGCTGAGCCATCTCTCCAACCCCTCAGGCTACATTCTTTAAAAACCAAGTTGATGGCTTTTCTAATGAAAAGACTGGACACATTTCTCTAGTGTGAGATGCTCACACTAGATGGAGTCCTTCTCCAGGCCTAACCAGTTGAGGGTCAAGTGAAATTCTCCATCTACAGGCTCTTCTGGAGCCTACTGGACCAGCACACACCCTCCAGCAAGACACATGCCCTGTGTGCTTCTCTGTCTCAACTTTAAATTCAAAGGGTCACACCAGAGAGCTTCTAAATTTCTGTGCATCTATACAGAGTTCCATGACTACTTGTGGGCAGCATTTGAGGGTTAAAAAATATATACTCTTTCAGGTTCTTGACTCCTATTATAGTTGAACTTTGTCCAAAATAAGCCTCAGCCTACTTAATTTCATTTCTACCTAGATGTTGCAGAGAAATGAGCTAGGTCAGAGCCTGAATCTGGGTTATAAATGTGACACAGAATCAACCGTCAGCTGCTGTCAATCAGTGCTGTAGCTCCAAGTACCCCCAAGCCAACGAGGTGAAGCACTAGCTGCAGAATACCCTCTTCTTAGTGAAGCGACGTGGCAAGTCACGAAAGGCTACCACGAGCTCGAGATCTACTTTGGAGATGAATCCACTTAGGGACTACATCACAGTTTGGGAAGACCTTGGATGAGTAACTGGTCACCCACCACATGGACTATAAACCTTGTGTACCATGCTCTTATTTCTGGTGAGGGGTTCTAAGATATAGTGAAGGCTTTTTAAAAAATATTTTATTTATTATCTTTATTTTATGTGTATGAGTATACTGCCTGCATAAAGGTGCATGCATGTGTGTCATGCAGTGCCCAAGGAGGTCAGAAGAAGGCATTAGATCCCCTGGAACTGGAGTTACTGACAGGTTGTTAGCTGCCATGTAGGTGCTGGGAATTGAACCCAGGTCCTCTATGAGATCAGCCAGTGCTCTTAACTGCTGAGCCTTCTTCAGCTCTGCAAAAGGCTTCTTTATCGCCTTTAAAAAAACAAACAACAACAACAACAAAAAACCAGACAGGGTCTACCTGTAGCTTCAGCTGGTCTAGAATTCACTAGGTAGACCAGGCTGGCCTCCATCTCACAGAGATCCACCAGCCTCTGCTTCCTGAGTGCTGGGAATAAAGCTGTGTGCAACTTTGCCCAGCTCTTTATGGCTTTCTAGTGAGTATCCCAAAGTCAACAGCCATTTTCTTTCCTTGCTTATCCTTATGTGTGTATTCCTATACAAATAAAATTGTCCAGGGCAGTGTCAAATAAATGAAGAGAAATCCAGAGAAGATTGCGGGCGGAAAAAGGTCAAGTATTTCTCACCATTACCCTAGCGGCTACCAAAAGCTGGCTTGAGCAACATCAGAACCACCTGGAGGTTTTTAGGAACTGGATTCCCAGCCAGGTCTAATAATTGTATTTAGAAAGGGAAATGAGTGCTTGTGCTTTGATTTTTTTAAAAAATTTTTAAACATTTATTTTTATTTTATGAATGTTATGCCTTGCATGTATGTAAGGGCACCTATGTTGTGCAGTACTGCAGAGGACAGAAGAGGGCACTGGATCTCCTGGAAATGGAGTTACAGCTGGTTGTTAGCCACCATGTGGGTACTGGGATTTGAACCCAGGTCTTCTCCAAGAGCAGCCAGTGCTTGTAACCATTGAGCCATCTCTCCAGCCACTGACTTGAAATTTTTTTAAAAGATTCATTTATTTTATCTGTATGAGTGTTTTGCCCACGTTCTGTAAGTATACCATGTGCATGCAGTGCCCATGGAGGCCAGAAAAACACACTGGATTCCCTGGAACAAAAGTTACAGACACTTATCAGCTGTTTTGTGGGTGCTGGTAACCAAACTAGGTCTTCCTGGAAGAGCAGGAAGTACTCTTAACTGCTGAGCATCTCTCCAGTCCCCTTGATTGACTTTAAGTAGCCTGGGTCATTTTGATGCAGTCTGGCTTGGGAACCAACAGTATGTCACTGTTACACAGAATATGCTTCCTTAAAT